TAATCTGGGCACAACAAAAGGAACATTAGAAGCCATCACTTCCAAACCATCTAAGTTACAAATGAGGACACTGAACTCCTTAGGGATGGGGCAGCTCATTCCAGACTATTCTTCCAGAAAGGAGATGCCAGATCAGTACCTACTTTCTGATTATCACTCAGTGCTCATCCCAGTTTACCTCCCAGGCAACCTTTGATTGTATTTTTAAAAAGAAAAAGAATTCTTTCAGTGTTAGGATCCTGCGTGCTGCTTACTCTTCTTGGGTTGGCATTTTCCTCTCCACTGTCTCTCTGGATTCTTGATATATTTAAGCCAAAGTCAGCACTCTCCACACGAGCATTATTGATACTCTCCTGAAGAAGAGGAAGACAATGAGAAGCCAGCTGTGGAAGAAACTGAGAGATGCTGGTTGTAGCTGCCTATTCCCCCACGCAAAATCAAATGCTAGATCCCAATTCTGTACACAAGGAGCCTGCATGTTATCGGGCCACTTTTATACAGATCCAGTAAGATGAATTAACTCTCTGCCCATGCCATGATGAAGGAACTGTCCTTGGAATGCTAAAAAAGACACTGGGACATATTCTAGAGGAAAGAGCTCTGCCTCAACCTATTCCACTCACTGGCTTGTCTTTCCTCTTGTGGCCAGGGCTGGCTGAGTCAGGAGAATCTGCAAAGCCAGACAGTCTCCTGTGGGACTCACTCACCTTACCTCCCTTCTCCCCAAGTCAGGCCTCAGTGGCCACAGCCATTACCCTTCTTGAGGAGTTATTTTGACCAACTGAGTTTCATGATCATTCCTTTCTGTGTGGTCAAGAATCTTTGACATTAACTCTTTCTACTCCTTTTCTCAGTTTCCCCTGGCCCTCTTTCCTTGGAGGCCTGAAACTTTTTGTCCCTGGTAAGAAGATCCCTGATATGTATGTATCTCCTGCTTAGATTTCACCCACCTGCCTGGTGAGCTCTCTTCTCTTGCTGCCCTCTCTCTAGGAAGTGCAGTGAGGAGAAAGTGAAGACCAACCATGTGTGCTTTGGAGAAGCCCAGCAGGAGGCGGCTGAGATCCAGACACACCTGATTCTCTCCCCCCCTGCACTGAGCAGCCCAGGAGTATGCTTTGGGACAGTAGGACCTGCCACCAGTAGTGACCTCAGCTGAGAGCTGCAAGCTCTGCTACAGCCAGGCCCCACCACCCAAGGTCCTTGTCCTGCACTCAGACCAGGGGAAATCCAGCATACTAAAAATTCTACTTTTCAAAGAATTCTACAATTGAATTAAATCATGTAGCAATTTTTTTGGTACTGGGGATCAAACTCGGGTCCTTGAGCTTTTGAGGAAGGCAGCAGAACCACTGAGCTAAATCCCCGGCCCCTCATGTAGCAATTTTTAAAAATAAACACATGTGACCTTTACCTTGGAGCTATTTCTTGGTCAAATGTGATATTAACAAAGTCATCCTGACCTGTTTAGGATGCTCCTTATTGAGAGATTTGGCGTCCCTTGTCTTCCCTACTGTGGCTTTGGATCTTGGCCTCTGCTGATTGATCTTGGGGAGATTTTGACAACTATCATTCATCATTCTAAAAAAGGAACAAAAATCTTACAGAAAATTATTCTAAATACTTAATTTGAAATAAACAACTAGTGTAGCACATTTAAAGAACCTTCTTCAAAGATATGAAGATGTACCACAATAGGGCCCTTCTGTCTGTGCCATCTGCCATCTTTGTCCATTCTGGCCCTGACTCCCTCCAGACTACTCACTGGGTTCGTTCAAAACTGAGCTAGAGAAGCCACCTCTTCCTGGAAACCTTACCTCATCCTCTTTATTTCTCCTTCACACTACATAGCTTCAGCCCTTCGGCAGGTGGCTTTAGTGCTCTATTGCTTTACAAGAATCCTTCATTTTTCCTTCCCATGTTCCTTAAGAGTATCAGACCAGGTCTTCAAGAGTTCTACCTAACTTATCTTCCAGCGAATTTAGCATTTCTGTCTTGATATTTAAATCTTTAATCCACTTCGATCTTAGTTTAGTGCACGGTGATAGGTATGGGTCTATTTTTAATCTTTGGCAGGTTGAAATCCAATTTTTCCAACGCCATTTATTAAATAAGCTATCTTTCCTCCAATGAGGATGGTTGGCTCCTTTTTTCAAAGATGAAGTGGCTGAGCATAGCTGTAGTTGTTTCTGCATCTTCTAATCTATTCCACTGATCCTCATGTCTGTTTCTTTGCCAGTACCATGCTGTTTTTATC